AAAGCTTCAAAAAGATGTATACATTTTTTTGTAACATCCTGTATATTTAGATAATAGAATACCCAGAGGCCTCCTGTATAGCGAGATGTTCTCAGGGAAAGCAATTCTACAGTCTCCAAAGGTTGATGGATGTCTAATCTTAATTTATTATGTTATAAAAATAATGTTTCTTAAACACACTCATTCATATATATATATATATATATATATATATATATATATATATAGATAGATAGATAGACACAGTGGGGGGAAATAAATATTCGTACACATGAAAAACTATTTAACTAAAACAAATTTTGATACATTTTATATGTAAAGATACATTTTATAAAAAAATAGTAATAAACTTAATTACTTGTTATTCTAACAGAAATAAATGCATTTTATTCATTTGAACTGATGAAAAAAGTATTCGTACAAAACCAAAAAAGCATATTAACTTAATTTAATACTTTGTGGAATATCCTTTATTGAGTTTAACAACTACCAGTCTATTCCTGTACGTCTCAACTGATTTGCACACATTGAGTGGTATTTTGTCCCATTCTTTTTGGCATATTGTCTTCAAATTCTTGATATTTGTTGGTGCTCTTTTCCCAATTTGAATTTTCAAATATCACCATGAATTCTCAATTGGGTTCAATTGGAGACCGACTTGGCCATTGCAAGACATCAACGTTACTTTCAGCTAACCATTTCCTTGTAGATCTAGCGGTATGGTTAGGGTCATTATCCAGTTGGAAAACCCAATCAGGAGGTAGCCGAAGTCTCTCAACAGAATGCATTAAATTGTCTTGCAGGATTTCCTGGTATCTTTCGGCATTCATCTTGCCATCTATTATTGATATTCTGCCAAAACCTTTTGCAGAAAAACAGCCCCAGATCATGATACTGCCACCACCAAACTTTACAGTTGGAAATGTGTTCTTTGGTAAGTAGGCTTCACCGTCCTTCCGCCACACATGATTTCGATAATTATGACCAAACAACTCTATTTTAGTTTCATCTCTCCATAGTACCTTTTCCCAAAACGAATATTCTTTATCCTTATGCTCTAGCTTATCCCTAGCATCTCTGTGTCATTTCACGAGGAGTGGAGTCTTCCTTGGGATGTGTGATTTCAGACCATTTTTGTGTAGTTCATTACTTATTGTATGCTTGTTTACTTTAATCCGTAATGCACACAGATGTTCCTGCAGCTCTTCTTGAGTAACCTGTGGATTTTGTTGGATCTGGCGTCCTAATATCCTTGCTGATCATAGAGAAATCTTCCTCGGAGCACCTGTTTGTCTTTGGTTTTCGACGCTGTTACGGGTTTTAAACCTTGCAATGAATGAAGCAATTGTAGTAAAAGGAATATTCAGGTTGTTAGAAATCATTCTGTAACTGTTCCCATCTTTCCAAAGAGACAAAATATTTTGTTTTTGTGAAATAGTCAATTCTTTACCTTTAGACATTATTAGAACCTTCTCATATGACTAGAAATTGCACAATGCTCTGATAATGGCTAATAGCGTTAACTATAATTACTGATAACATTACTGGAACATTCTAGAATATACTTTCTTCATAATTGATTATTTTATTCTAATAATTGATTTGTATGAATACTTTTTTCACCAGTTAGAATCAAAAAAATGCATTAATTTCTGTTAGAATAAGAATTAATTAAGTTTATTATTATTCTTTAATAGTATGTGTCTTTATACATAAAATGTGCTGAGATTTGTTTTATTTAAGGTGTTTATGTTTATAAAAAATACAATTTTTCAAGTGTATGAATATTTATTTCCTGCCCACTATATATATATATATATATATATATTTATTATGAAATGGACAAAGTCCAACAATTATTTTTAGACATATTTATGTTTATACATTCATTTTATAGATACAAATATTTAAGTAAATGCTCCGTTTATAATATATATATATATATATATATACACACACACACACTGCGTGCCAAATTATTATCGAGATAACTTTTTTCAAATATTTCAAAAACCGTCCTATCAATTTACACAAAATTTTCACACAATTTTGGCAACATTGTCCTGCATAATCACTGTTTGTTTACATTGCATGAATTAGTATGAAAGTTTCAGTGATTGCATTGAGTCAGTTTGCCAATATTATTAATTGATTAGACAGTTTTTGAATAAAAAAAAAATTATCTCGATAATAACCTTCTCTAACACACACACACACACACAAGTATAGGATTGGTGTATATGGAATAAATTTAAATAACCAACAAATATTCTTAAAAGAATGCTCAATATAGAGTAGAGCAAGTATAATTATTTATTTGAAAATTATAGCTTAAATATGTTATACAATCACTACAAAAATAGCCATTTTGTTTCAACACTTCTGGTGTCTTATGAAGTGATGGTGTTGAATGCCATTAACACTATCACTTGATAAGACACAGAAATGAAAATGAAAGAATATTCTTATAATGATTGTATAACATATTTACCATAATTTCAAATAATTATATATATATATATATATTAATGAATATCAAATACTTAAAATACCATAGGTAATAATCTTTATTTCCTGAAAGCTATAAAAATAGCCTTCAGTCTTTCAGACTTGCAGACCAAATATAAACAGAAAAAATTACTCCAGGTTAAATTCAAGATATACATATATTATATTGAAGGAGAGAGAGAAAAAGAGAAGAAAAGATTCAAAATTATGAACATGTAATGGTAGCGGAAAAAGAAGAAGACCCAAGGATTTATTCTCATTAGTCTTTAAGGTTTGAGCTGACCTGATTTAATATAACATATGCTACACAATGTTGCATTTTGATTTAGAGGTCGTGAAGTTAATGAGAGTTAAGAAACACTGTGTCACTTAATGGCTAAGAATCTGACGTATACATATTCGTTTTAAGAAAGTTTTATTTATCTTAAAAATAGCTTTTTTTTTATACCTTTCATGAAATAAAGATTATCTATGGTCTTTTAAGTGATATTCATTAATTAATAATTTTGCTCTGTCTTGTACAGAGAGCTCTCCCTGGATCGTTATCCTCATGGAAATTGCATATTTATTAACATTTTAATTTATTATTAATATATATATATATATATATATATATATATATATTCCACCTTTTAAGTAAAATTGGGTAGATGGAAGCCTTGGGTCTCCTGATAGCTGTGCTAGCATGAAGTTACAAGTCATCGTGACAGATGGTTTGAGTTTGAGTTTACTGGCCTTGTTCAAATTGTTGATCACACTAGATAACATGCACTCTCCCAGAAACTGTAACTAAGGTCTGCTCAGCACAGTTGCAGTATAAACCACAGGTTGGCTCTGTGGGTGTTGAACAAACAAAAATGTGCCTGAGCGAGAGTCTGCAAAAAAAGTTTGGCTAACCACCTTAATAGATGGGTATCCTCGAATACGAGTGGCCAGCTATTATATATATATATATATATAATATATATATATATATATATATATATATATATATATATATATATTAATGCATGTTTCATTAAATAATATAGACAAGTTTTGTCTATTTATTTTAAGTAAGTTTCTTTCATATTGTCTGATAAACTTAATAACATTATAAATTGAAAGATGAAAAGAAAACACCATATTGATACATGTTTAAATCCAATCTAATCTTTCAGCTTACACAAGCCATTATCGAAGATGACAATTTCAATAAATCAACCAACACATGGATGAAACAACAATGATAGTCCGCCCTTGCTGCATGAAAATTTCCAAATAATGACAAACTCATATATATGAGATGTGGAAGCAAAAATTGCGTCGCAGCTCGTGACGTCACACATGACCACGCGAGGATGAAAATGAGAAGTATTAAGTATGGGAAGCCGTTGGTATAAACCAATGGCTTCTGTCATAAATTATAGGCATTTAAGGATATTTGTGGAGATTTCATAGTTTATTTTGTTCAGGTTATGTTTCAACTGTTTCATGTATAAAGCTTCAAGAATTTTTAATTTTTGTTTATTGTTTTCATGTTTAAGTATAATTGTGTTGTCAACAAGGATTTTCTGGAATTGAGTACGCGGGCAGGCATGTTATTTTAAATGTCTAAAAATGTTAGAGTTATCATTTAAATGTAGAGTCAAGTGCCGTGAAAGTGAGTTTGTGGTTTAAGCTTATCAGACAATATGAAAGGAACTTACTTAAAATAAATAGACAAAATTTGTCTATATTATTTAAGGAAACATGCATTAATAAAAAATTGCTGCCTAAATATACACAATATATATATGTAAACACACACAATAAAAAAGCTAAAACACTGTATAGTATCATGGTTTCGACCCCTAAGTCTCTTCAGGTGACTGGGAAACACTTTCTTTTCTTGCACCTCTCACTTGTGGAACTCCCTTCCCTAATTACTTTTTCTGATCCCACACACCCTGTAACCCCTTGTATTTTAGTGGCTTTATTGCCTTGCAAAAATTTAAATGCAATGTCAATTGCTATCTACTGTCCTCCTGATTACCCTTTCCTCTTCCTGCTCATTATTAATGTTTCTGTTCCTAATTCTTCCACACCCTACAACCCCTTGTATTTTAGTGGCTTTATTGCCTTGCAAAAATTTAAATGTAATGTCAATCGCTATCTACTGTCCTCCTGATTACCCTTTCCTCTTCATGCTCATTATTAATGTTTCTGTTCCTAATTCTTCCACACCCTACAACCCCTTGTATTTTAGTGGCTTTATTGCCTTGCAAAAATTTAAATGCAATGTCAATCGCTATCTACTGTACTCCTGATTACTCTTTTCTCTTCCTGCTCATTATTAATGTTTCTATTCCTAATTCTTCCACACCCTATAACCCCTTGTGTCTTAGTGGCTCTATTGCCTTGCATGACATGATACTGATTAAAAATATGTTATTACTTTTGAAAAGAAATGATTCTACCCATAAAAACCATAAAAGTGATACAGCATTCAATGATAAAAGTAAATTACTTACAGGATTCGTCTGTTTTGTCTGAAGGGAAAACTCCAACGCACGGACTGTGGATATCAATCTGAATCGTCTCAATAACAGGAGCATTCTTGTACAGTTTACTCTCGTATTTGTGTTCCGTTTCCTCGAAGCGGAAGCCTCGCGCATGTTTTAAGTTATTATAGAGCAAATCTGGCAGTGAGTCCTGCAAAATGTACTTCCTGTACCGTATAATACCATGTTCTATGATATCACAGCTGTGCTTTAAATAAACAAACTTAAAATTAGGGGACAAACGTAAAACCTTAGCCTTTTTGATATAGTACTGAGGCAAAGGCCATGGTTCACCTGACGTACTGATTGGTGAACGACGAATTTTCTGCTCAGGGACTACGTAATCCTCCATATTAATGGAAAAGTCATGCCAGTCCCAGATAACACGACTCTTCCCTCGAGCTGGTTCCTGTGGGACGTTGTGTTCCTTTTCAGGGAGCTGGTTGTGAGAAGGTAAGTCCTGTTGCTGCTGGGGATGCTGTTGATGTTTAAGGCTCTCTCCATCTTTTTCTGGAATGTCGTTCGGAATCCTGTTATTTTTATTATTGTTGTTGTTGAAGGCTCTGACGCTGTTGTCACTTTCGTCAAAACCGGAACGTTTCGGTTGCGCGTGCTGCACTTGAACTGGTTGTTGTGCAGGCTGCTGCTGCTTTGCCTGCAGGATGTTTTTCAAGACATTGGTATCAATTTCACCGCGGTTAATGTCTACTCCAGCGCCACCTCTGTTGACTGGCTGACCAAAACCGGCTTGGTTACGGTTTGCTGCCCACTGACCCTGGTTCTGATTGGCTGGAAGATTTTTTCCACTTCCTTAAAAAAAAAAAAAAGAAAAAATGGAATAAATTAAAATATTAAAATAAAAAATAAAATAAATAAGAAATTTATATAGAATTTTATCAAGCAAGTAAGCAATGTTTTTTCTTCTGTAAATAAAATCCTTTTTAAAGAAAATGAACCAGATAAATGCTATAAAACGCTTGAGATATAGTACGTATCAATTTGAAAGCACTTGAGTCTCTGTATATTAAGTCTAAGCAACCTTCCCTCTGTAAGCAAAAGGAATAGTTGTTTGGTTTAAATGTAATCTGTTGGTGAGTTATATTGCTCCTTCTCTGGTAGTATTTTCCCTTCCCCATTTTGAGTATGCTTGAGACCTTGTATATGAAGTCTAAGCAACCTTTCCTTTGGAAACAAAAGGAAAGGTTACCAGATCTCAAATGTAATTTGTCTTGTTGCTCATTCTCTGGTAGAATTTTCACTTTTCCATTTGAGCATGCTTCAGACTCTGCATATTAAGTTTAAGCAACCTTCGACTTTGTTTAAGTATCTATGAAGGAATGTTGAAAAATCCCTTGGCCTAACCAAGAAGCCCTTCAAATACAAATTTTGATGTTTAGCCATTAGATCAAATTTTATTGGGCCAAGAACTTTTCTGTACACCATTACATAATTTGAATGTATACAATGAAATCCCTACAGAACAGAAGCTAAAAAGCCTCACTCATGACTACAGCCTTTGTTCTCACCTAACAATAAGTATTCACTCAGTTATTAACCTTTTTCAAATCTAACAAGCATTTTGATTTTTCTTATTTGCCTGATTTTAATTCATTTAAAATAAACAAATACATGACCCTTTGAGTATGCTTGAGTCTCTGTATATTAAGTCTGAGCAACCTTCCCTTTCTATGCAGAAAGAATGCTTGCTGAACCTAAATTTAATCTATGTGTGATTCATATTGCTCATTTTCTGTTAGTATTTTATAATAGGACTTAAATGTATTTAAATTTACTGGAATGCACCAATAGTCCAACATTTATTAGTGTAAATTGGCAAGGCAAATTCAAATTCTGGTTTAATATGCTGCATTTGCACTAATGCCCCTGGGAAAGGCATAAATTCATCTTTTTCATTGGGTTCTCTAGCCCTGAGTGGCAGCCAGTCTAGGAGGACTACTGGATTTAAAAACATAGAAAAGGCAACAGGAAATGATCTCATGGAAGCCATGGCAATCTCTATCTATAAAAAGCAGGATGTGTGTGTGTGTGTGTAACGAATGCACGGCCGCAATTTTCGATGGATTTGCACCAAAATTTACATGCACATGCTCCAAGTTAGCAGGAAGGCCAAGACTGACCTTGCATTTGTCAACTCCCATCGATAGTGGAAATAATCGATTTTTTCATGCTTCTACGGCAGTTTTCATGTAGTTTGCGGCCATTTTGTACTGGCCAGAGTGAGAGCCTATAGCTGGCTGCCATGAATAAGCAGGAAGATTCTATTGGTCAGTGTGAGAGCCAACAGCTGACTGACACGAATGTTAACTAGCATGCAAAAAATATCAATAGCTGCATTCATCACAAGTGGGAAAAATTTAAATCTGCATGGCACTTTACTCCAATTGGCTCATTAAACTTAAACTCAACATTGATTCTGATTCTGCAGAACTGGGTTGGGTGTGAAAAAAAGTATTTGTTGTTAACATTCTTTTTTCATTCGGTTTTTTCCATTCTGAGTCCTTTTTTTAATCGTTTTGTGTTCATTTTGCTTAGTTCTTTTTTCGTAACAGATTTAATGTTTAGTATAGAGCTTAGAAAAAATTCACAGTGTGAGATAGGCAAGAAGTAAGGCATGTAGCAACATCAGCACAGCAAAGGGCACTCCTTTAAAGGCAAGGAAGGGCAAAAATATTTTAAGTCAAGTGATAGCGATTGCTGTATGAGTTGTACGATTTTTGAATCAAACACGGGCAATGCCAGGCCATACTGCTCGTCTAGAGATAAAGAAAAGGAATCTGAAGAACTATGATCACTTCTATGTCCTGAAGATATATAAAGCACGTGAAAAAAAGTTAACTGAATTTAGTCATAAATTACTTTAATCAAGGCATCTTTAGAATTTATTAAAATGACAAGAAAATTTTAAAACATCAGCTAGTTTCCTGAATAGATGGGCCTGGCCAGCTATTTAAATGTTTAATTCTCATTCCCAACCAAAAAATACCCCCGCACAAAAAAAACATCGCCCTCTTTATTTTATGTTCTATGTTTTTTTTTTCAACCCTATCCGTTTATTCAACCTCCACGTCTGTTCTGAAAACAAATTATAAATTAATTTTCCCAACCTACATTTTTATTCCAACGTCTTTTTTCCTGGAAATAAGATTGCAAACAGAATTCAATCAATGCTGATAAATAAAATATAAAAATGTCTTTGTCTTGTCTGGTTTTTGCACGTCTGCATGTTGAGGGTGCTTCTCTCAACCGAGAAAACCACTGGTGTAATATAGCTCTCCCAGTCCTAGACCCATGCTGACTATTGGCTAATAGCTGCCCAGTATCATTCATATGCAAATAGCACCACCTACTCTAAGTAGAAGGTCTTTTCTCAAAAGCACCACATACAAACAACTTAGAGCCTCTTATCAGGCTGACCCGATTCTCTGTTATAAAAAATTACCTAAGCAATGTAATAAAATTGGTTAGCAAATATTAAAAATGCACAGTTACTGCATTGCTCTTTGGTAGAGAGTTGGGAAAATAATCTGGTTTAAAATCCTGCTCATAAAGCTACAGGGATACAAAAGGTTATTATTGTATTTTCCAGCTTACAGGATTCACAATTTTCTTTAAAAAAAATACTCTGAACAATACGTGTGCATTTTCCGAGATCAATGTAAGGCAATGCCCAGGCTCAAGTAAGCTTGGACGGTCACCTAATTGTCATGACTGATAGAGACGTGGATTTGTATGATGAGTCATTAGACTATAATGTTAGTTATTTAATTCAGCCTTTTATATAATGTAACCACAGTACTTAGCTGTTACAAATTTTCCTGGGTGTTTCGGGGAAACTGATGAAAAGGGTCTTGTCAGCAAGATGAATTCAAATTGTAATTGTGACAGTTTGAGCTTATGTGCTAAACAGCAGGACACACCAGACTGCCTAGACTTGGTTGACAACCAGTCTAGGAAAAGGAAACATTTTAATTTAGTTTTAATTTAATTAAAAAAAATTTTATGATGTTGGCCAAATAGTTCATTCCATTTTGTTTTTAGATGGCATTAAAAATGTTTAATTTTCATGAAATTCAAAAAAATTTCTTTTAATTTTTTATTTAAGGGCTGTAGTTTTATTTGGAGAAGGCAATGGGAAACCATGCTACTAGCTTACCAAGAACGACCATGGCATGAATATGAGAAAGAGTGTGGGGTAGAAAGATAGAGAGAAAAAGAGCGAGAAAGAAAGAGAGAGAGCGGGAAAGAAAGAGAGAGAGAGGGGGGAAGAGAGAGAGGGAGACGAGAAAGAGAGAGGGGGAGGTAGGGAAAGAGAGAGGGAGTAGGGAAAGAGAGAGAGAAAGAGAGAGGGGAGGGAAGAGGGAGAGGGTGAGGGAAGAGAGAGAGAAGAGAGAGAGAGAGAGAGAGAGAGCAGGAAGGAGAGAAGGAGATGGAAATAGAAAGATGGAAAGATGAAAAGAGGGGAGAGGAGGAGGTAAATGGAGAGAGAGAGAGGAGGTTTAAAGGAAAGCAAACAAAAGGAAGCTGTGAAGAGACATGACAAAGAAGAACCATAAAATCTTTTGAGAATATCTATGCCTGGAAAGAAATCTTAAAATAGCTTGACATCTACAAGTCAATATTCCCTCATTTTCTAGATAATAATAATAAGAATAAAAATAAGAATTAAAAACTCACTGTCAAAGGAATTGTCCTTATGGATCAAGACGGCAGGAGGCTTCTGAAATGCTTCGATGAAGGCGTAGAGGATAGCAAATAAAAACAACTTGTGCAGCTCCATTCCGCCACCATGTCAGGACTCTGAAAGAAGGGAAAAATTTTTGTAGAATCACAGATGCAAAACAAAAACATCCAATAGGGTTAGTTATAGCAAGCTTTTATGCACACGGATACAAAAGTTAACAAAACAATAACATGGCTGAAATCCTAGTCTGTTGAATAGCCACCATGACTGACATTATCAAAAGTTCTCCTTTTGTTATTGGAAGCATTTAGTTTTCACTAAATTTGTCAATACTAGATTGGTTTGGTTTGGTTTATGGCATATCAACCTCAATGGGTCATTTAATGTTGACAACTTTTTTTCCTGGTAATATTTTCTTTTGTCAAAAAACTATTTCTAGTAATATTTTTTCCTCAAAAATGTATAGCTGGTAATATAATTTTAAAAAATGTATTGCTGGTGATATATTTTTTTTTTAAAAGTATTGCTGGTAATAGTTTTTCTTCTTCAAAAATTTATTCCTGGTAATAAGTTTATTTTACAAAGTATTTCTGATATTAAAACCTAGTTTTACACTTTCATAATGCTTTTTATCTCAGTTTTAGTGTTAACTATTTGCCCATGGCTGGGACCCTAACAGGTGCTACAACCCTGGGTCAGGATGAACCTGGGAACACCAGCAATTAAGAGGTGGTTCCACGCTCCTCAAAACCTCCTGATCAGAGACCTTGTTGTTGGATGTAGTTTATCATTTTACCCTGGATGTGGATGTAGTTTATCGTCATACCCAGGATAACAGTACTAGATTGGCAACTAAATCACATCATTTTACAGTTAGAATAGCTAAATGTAAATGATGTAAGTTCTATGTTAACAATTTCTTCTCTTGCACTTCTTGCTTGGGGAATGTTCTCACTTCTTGTCCAATCAAATTTGATCCTCAAAAATTTAAATACGATCACTTAATTTTATTGAGATATGTCCAATATCCTTCACCATGGAGGCAGGGAATGAGTAAATGCCAAGCATAGTATTTGTTCTCATCTCTAAAGGTAGTGACAATATTAGCTGTTTCCTTATAAGGAAACATTCTGCATTCAAACATACTGGCATTAGAGATCTTTCCGGTATTAATGGTGGCTTCCTTACTAATCGTATATTCAAAGTTGTGCAGAATGTCAGCATTTTCATTACGTCATTATTTTCTCTGAGCTACATGCACCATCCACTCAAAAAAATACATTATGGAAAGATCTTTTTTAACTAATTTTTTTAGATCAGCAATCTTTAGACATTCCTTAGGCTGCAACATTTTTCAGAATAAAAAAAATATTCATTTTTTTTTTTTTTTTTTATCAATTTAGAATGCGTTGGGGGTGTTTATATTAATGATACATTGTAAAAACGAATTCTAACTTTTAAAAGAGTTTGAAACTGTTTTTGCATTATGGTTATCTTTGCACAAGAACAGACATTTGTTTTTACCAAAAAATCTTTTATTTTGTTTTATTTATTACCTATTTTTTGTTTTTATTAATCATCATCTAACAAATAATCTAACACATCTTATTCATTGACTAGCCTATTTTGTAATCTTTTACAATTTGTTTTTATACAATTTTTACTTATCGAATACAGTAAAAGAAAATTGCATATTTTGCTTGTGGTGATTCATAATTAGAATTCAAGTTTGAATATATTTTCTACGCAATATATCTAATACAAAATATATCAGCTTTATTTGGATTTATTCTTGAAATAGTAAAATTTTGAAGTCAGTTTGTAAGCAAAAACCTGTGGAAATTAGATATTTCTTTAGATTTTTTTCAGATTATTTTATTTTATTTATTATTTTACTTTTCTTTATGCATTGAATATGATTTTACTATAGGAATACATTGGAAATGATTTTACTATAGGAATACATTGGAAATGATTTTACTATAGGAATACATTGGAAATGATTTTACTATAGGAATACATTGAGTATGATTTTACTATAGGAATGCATTGAATATGATTTTACTATAGGAATGCATTGAATATGATTTTACTATAGGAATGCAATGGAAATGATTTTACTATAAAAAAATGTATTTCTCTACTTTCATATTGTTTGGTTGTGGAGGTGTTTGGTATTTGCTCATTGTTGAAACCCAAACAAGTACAACCACTTCAGATCAAGGTGGACCTTGGAACAACAGTAATTAAGAGGCGGTTACATGTTCTTCAAAATCTACAATCTCCTGATCAGTGGCTTTGCTGCCAGATGTAGTTTATCATCATACCCAGGTCTTGAAGTGATGGTAGCGCCTTAAAGGCAGAAAATAATTTATCTTTATTGGGCTATGGTTGTGCTCGTGGTTGGGAGGCGATATGGGTCAAATGCTGAAAGTTGATCACCTGGTTGTGGCGCGTTGGTGGATCAAACACTGAAAGAAAGTCGTTCACTAGATTAGGGTGTGGTGGGGTGGGGCAACCATTAAAATCAGTTAACCTGTTTGAAGTGCAGTGTGTGTATGTGTGTGTGTGTGTATGTGGTGGAGGGCAAACACTAAAAGTCGTTCACCATATTGGGGTCATTGGAGGGAGGGGAATGCTGAAAATAGTTCACCTGATTGAGGTGTGGAGAGGGGAACCAAACACTGAAAGTAGGTCACCAATTGGGTTGGGGGGTGAAAACGCTGAAAGTAGTTCACTGATTGAAAGTCGTTCACCTGATTGGGGGGAAAACACTGAAAAGTAGGTCACCAATTGGGTGGGGGGGTGTAAACGCTGAAAGCAGTTCACTGATTGAAAGTCGGTCACCTGATTGGGGGGGCAAACACTGAAAGTACTTCACCTGATTGGGGGGGAGGGGTCTGAGAGGTGGAAACAGAATGTAGTTCACCTATTTGTTTGGGAGGTGGATGTGAACTCTAAAGTAGTTCAGTCTCCGATTGCATGTGGGGTGGTGGTGGTGGCTAATCGCAGAAAGTAGTTCAACTATCTGATTGCATAAGTGGAACAGGAAAATGAGGCGAATGTGGATAAATATTTGATTAGATTAATATAAAAAAAGATTATAAAATAAACCTCGTAGGAAAAGAAAAAAAAAGAGAAAAAAAGATAATTTAGCTCTTAGAGGTAATTTGTTTTTATAAGCAAGAAAAAAAGAAAAAAAGAAATGGATCATTTTTTTTTTTTTTTGTACAAATGAAAACCATACAACTCCAGGGTTGACATGACCTTGGATTGTTGCATACCAAGCAAAGAATGTACCTTTAGATTATTTCTTTCATCTGATATGATGTGTCGGCTAGGGTGTAGAGAAATTTGCTGCTGTTTAGAATGAAACAGATAGGCAGAGACAACAAAGCCCATTCAACCAAGCAGTTGAACTTGATGCTTGGGGAATTGTATCGACAGCTGCCTGAGAAAAGTAACAATAAAGACCCCTTATACAATATTTATGTATCATTCTATACAGATATTATTTTGTTACATTAAAATTCATTAGCCTACCTTTTCTTTTAAAAATCTAATTTTTTGTGACTCAACACCAGTAGTTCTCAACCATTTTGTCTCTGGGCCACATTTTTGGAATTAAAATTTGCTTGCAACTCAAATTTTATGTGATAAAAAGTACATTCAAAATAAGAAATTACTAATAGTGTGTTAAATATAATATATAACACAAATAACTTATATGATTAATGTACACAAAATTAATGAAAGGTATGAGCTTGCTTTTGACAGGTAATCTCCTGGGGTTTAATATGAGGAGAAGCGAAGTCCTGATGAAAAGGCGCAAGCAGCCCTACGGCAAAGAAGGTCCAGAGAGAGGGTTAAAGGAAGATAACCATGGATACAAAGTCAAAACATTATCAGTGATAACTCTCTCCTCCAACTTGCGGACCCTAGTTACTATATTCTTAATACTTGATATAATGAAAAAATATCACAATCGGTCAATAAATATTTATAACTATTTATACTGGGACTAATTCATACAATTACAAGTAATCATATGAAAATGACTATGTAAATGACTATGAGTTAGATTAAATTAGGGCGGCTAATGAAGACCACTCCCTCATTATTTCTCCCTCAGACTTGTGCCACAATTCTGTATTGTTCAGAATAAATCTTAAATTACTATAAAATAGAGTGAGGATATTTTAACCTCAGAATTCGTGGAAGAATTGAGCTTCAATTTCGCATTTGTTCATATCGAAGAAGATTATAATTTCCAAACATAAGCCTATTATTCTAAACCTTACTTTCCATTATTTCGTATTATTCTAAACCGGAAGTTCCCTGTTCGAAATGAAAATTTGCTCACACCTCAAATTTTATGTGATAAAAAGTACATTTAAAAATTAAAAATAACTAATAGTGCATTAAATATAACATATAACACAAATAACTTATATGATTAATGTACACAAATTTAATGAAGGGTATGAGCTTGTTTTTGACGTGTAATCTTCTGAGGCCTAATTTGAGAGAAAACAAAGTCCCAATGAAAAGGCGCAAACAGCCCTACAGCTAAGAACTACAACTATTTACTAATTAATTACAATTCCTCATCTCAGAAATATAGATAAATATATGCCATGTCTTCAATTTTACTATAAAATATACTGTGGCCATTTTTACTACAAGAATGTACTGATACATTTTTACTATAAAAATGTATTTTTATACTTTCATAGTGTTTTGATTTTTGTTTGGGAGCTCACCATTTGCCTATGGCTGGGACCCTAACAGGTGCTACCACCCCAGATCACGGTAGACCTGGGAACAACAGTAATTAAGAGGTGGTTTGATGCTCCTCAAAACCTCCAATTAGAGGCCATGCTGCCAGATGTAGTTTGTCATCATACTCAGGACTAACCACTGAAGGTAGAAAGTTACTGTATGGAATGTGTAATATGAAGATAAAAGGATTTGGATGGGTGTGCAGGAAGACTCAACACAGGCCAATTCATCTCCATGACAACTCACAGCCAGTCAACTCAGTCAAATGAGGGCAACATGCAAAATATGAAATTTTTTCATTGACTTTTTAAAAA